ATGTCTCCTGTACCTGCACGACACATTTAGTCCTCTTATTCTTTCTCTCTCAGTCAACCCACTCTCTCTAAAACTGTGTGTTTGACTGGATGATCATGGCCATTTTTACATATTGCTTTTCGAGGACATACATCATATTAAACTCTGGTGTCAGCATAGAAAAACTGTAATAAATGAAATAAAGCAAATAAACCTGCAAAAATAAAAAAATACTTCCAAATCAGAGAGTCTTGTTGACTGCTGAAGTGCCCACTGCTAGCTATCTATCTATCTATCTATCTATCTATCTATTGCATCATCATAGGTTTGCACAATTAATTTATTCTTGCTATTTTATTGCTTGCGAGTCATTTTGTCTTTAACCTAAACAAATGCAACTTCACATGTGCTAAAAAGTTTCTGCACGTTATGATTCTAGCGAGAACAAACCTGTTGTCTGCTGTTTGCTGACTGTGAAAGTCAGTGGCACTTTTGCGTCAGTCTGAGCCACTGACTTTGATCATGAACATTATTACCGACATGTGAACAGCTGCTTTTGTGTCTGGCATGGTAGATAGACTGGTGCTTATGCTATATTCTCCTGCTCTGCCTTAGCACTGAGCACTTTATACAACATGCCTCATTCAACCATCAAACAAGCCCCATCTATGCTGAGATTCTATAGTATATTTCACACTGTTTGTGTGCCGGGGATACAAGTTTCACCTGGTTGGAGTTTTGTTTAAGTAAATGTTTATCACTGTTGACAGTAGAGGGCAGCAGGGTGCCTGCTGTGGGACTGTTATGGCAAGACACACCTCTGTTCATTCTATTCTACAGATTAGTAATGGCTCCAAAAGCACAAAAACGTATTAATGAACACTGAAGTTTATCCTCTGTTACTCCAGGCTATGTTTACAATGTCCAATATGTAACACTGTGCTTACTTGAGCTACTCTGGCTAAAATAAAAATTGCATAGATATGCTTCAAGCACAGGTAATGTCTTTTAGCACAGAATCATTGTCATGGTCCTGGGTCATTTTGTCCCAGTGTTCCTAGTTTTTCTTGTGTTTTTGTATTTTGTTAGTTCATTATTTATTCCATGGTTCCTAGGTTGTTCAGTTTAGTTTATTGGATTCCCCCCTTGTGTCTCTGCCCTCTGTGTCTCCCTCTGTGTCTGTGTTTATATTGTGGGGTGAGTTCTTGTGCCGTGGTTCCCTTCATGTTTTATTGTGTTAGGTTTTCCATGTTTCCCCAGCGTGTCGTGCCTGTGCTCTCCCTCGCTGTGATCTGCCTCTCCTCTACTCCCACATCATGTTTCCTGTTTTATTGTGAAGATCCTGCGTTTTCATGTTTATTCTGTTCAGTCCAGTCGCCCCTGTCTCGTTATGGTTATTCATGTCAGCTGTTCCTTGTGTCTTCTCACTTCCTTGTTATCCCTCTGTGTATTTAGGTCAGCATCTCCCTCAGTCCTCTGTCGCGTCATCCCTCATGGCTGCGTGTCTCTCCCTGTGTTTCCCCATGAGTTCATATTCTTAGATTTTCCCGGTTTAGTTTTGTATCGCTCCCTCTGTTCCCGGCAATAAAACTGTATTTTGAATTCACGTTTTTCTTAAGTGAGTTTGCGCTTGAGTCCAATTCCTGGTTCATGACAATCCTGCTCTCTTAAAATGTAAAGATCAGATCACTTAGTTTTAGATTTTTTGTTCAGTGTTTGTATGTTAATTATACAAAGCACGTCTGAAGTTATTCAGACCCCCCCCCCAAACAAAACATTTAAATACTGTCAGTAGCCAACTTGACTGGGAACACGTAAAGCATATAAGTAATATGAGTCATGTCAATAAAAACTTTAGGAAGTACAATACATATGGATATAGGTTTCTTCCTTCCTTCCTTCCTTCCCTCACCCTCAAAAGATGACTATCCCTCCCTGAGCCTGCTTCTGCTAGATCACAGGTGTCAAACTCCAGGCCTCGAGGGCCGGTGTCCTGCATGTTTTAGATGTGTCCTTGATCCAACACAGCTGATTTAAATGGCTAAATTATCACCTCAACATGTCTTGAAGTTCTCCAGAAGCCTGTTAATGAACTAATAATTTGATTCAGGTGTGTTGAAACAGGGTGAGATCTAAAACCTGCGGGACACCGGCCCTCGAGGCCTGGAGTTCGACACCCCTGTGCTAGATGTTTTCTCCTGTTAAAGAGCTAATGATAGGAATTCATAAAACCTGGCGCACACCTCAGAAGCAGTAAAGGCATCATGAGTGTAGGTGATGCAAAATGTCCATGTGCATCCACAATGCTAATGCTAATGTCTGACTAGCCAGCATACCCTGAACCTACCATGTCAGGTATTAATTTAATGTACTAGGCATAGCAGTTACATCAGGAGATGTAGAAACTCTCATGTATGTTGTCAATACCAAGTCAAGAGTTAAGAGAATTCCTGACTTATGTTTCAATTGATAAGAAATTTACTCTTTGTTCGCTACAAATGTAACTTGTTTCTAACTAAATGGATGATGGCAGTTTGAATCCCACAGTGGTTAAGCACCATCTCAAATAACTTCACTACACTGACAACAGAAACAGAAGCACAGAAGTTCCACATACATTCTCACTGTTGTGGTCAGCCTCACTGGGACAGCCGAACAGCTCTCGTCGCAGAAGGTTGCCATCGTACTCCAGAAAGGTAAGATAGAGATTCCGGAAGAATTCCACATGCTTGTTCTTTACTCGCAACTTCTTTGGAGAGTTCCAGTGGATCACCTGTTGAGGAGAACCACAAATGGGAGGGTGGTGAAGAAGCTTCTGGTATCATCAGGTTCTAAAGAATCAGAGCAATAAACCAAAACATTTACACTGCGCTTTGCCAAGAGTGCAGAACAAAGTTACTACTTGTTGTTAACACTTGTCCGTTATTTGGCTCAATACCTGGCAAAAATAATGAGAGAGCAGTGAAGAAAAGCCTCATTATACTGTTTGCTAAGATGTGAAATTACTTCACTCAGTGCTTTAGACAAAGGTGCCATTTCACTAACCGCACTTTTTTGCAGATTGATATAAATACGTTTCAGCAATGCCATTCAAGATGCTCGTTTGTCACTTTCAGCAACTCAGTGTTTTGGCCAAGAACACTTTGTGGACATAGAATGAACTGCCAACCGCGCGAGGAGCACATGTAGCATTATCCAATGCAAGAAGATACATTATAGAAGAAACCACATGAAAGAATCCACAAAACTGCCAAAACATGTATGAGGCGTGGCTTCACTTTTGATTGGTAAGATCAAGAGCTTTTCCTAAAACTGATTCAGCAGAGTTTCTTGATGTCTTTGTTTAACGGTCTCAAAAGCACTGTGCTAGTGTGGAAAGTTAAATACGTCCAGTTATTTTCTATTACTTTTACTTGGATGACTAAAAACCTACACAGACCAGTGTGGTAAGAACAGTAACAGACCCTGTGCACGAGAAAATGCTAAGTTCCTGTTTTAAGACCGGATGTAGGCTTGTACATTTCTGGTAGCTTTACTTTGCGGTCAATCGCTACTGCGAAGGTGGACTCCAAAATCATGTCCAAAATACGAAAACGGAAAGATTACATTAAGTTACAAAGAGCAAAAGGTGGGAACACTCACCATTGCCGTGTCATTAAAACTAAAATGATCAATTTTGACGTTTGAAGCGTGTAGATCGATTGGTTGTTTACATCACATCAGAAGACACATCGTCCACATTCAGAAGCACATCTCTGTATAGTGACAGTTCTTATGATTTAAACAGGAAAATGTCCAGTATTGAAACTACAGGTGAAGAATAGTCAAAGCCAGATGTTTCCCCGTTAGGTCGATATCAGCTGGTCAAGTGCTCACCTACACAGCATGTCAACAAACCGTGAAAAAAAGCCACAGGATATAAAAAATACATGAATGATTGCTGGTAAGGGTCTCTATATATTAGTATTTACGAAGGGTATGTTGTGACTTA